GTGTTAACCCAGATTTATAGGCTAGTTGTTTTTTGTTTTTTGTTTTTTTGTAAACATGGGGTTTCTAAGAGCTAGAAATGCAAATAGCGGGTTTCCTGCACTTAATCTGTCATGTGTGGGACTAATGCTGCCACACATGGAGACGGTGTCGTCCACCCTAACCATGGCCTCTTGCCTCCTCTCTGTGGCATCATCCGGCGAACAGTTGTCATCCCTTACAGGGGTCTCCGCTTGTCACTGCCGCGCAGAGGAAAAGGGAGTCCGAGTGTGTGCGAGAGACACAAAAAGAAGGCGGGGTGTGTGGCGGGGAGGGAGGAAAGCTTTTCGAGGCGCTGGAGGAGGGAACGAGCTTTGCCGTAGAGCTGTGTTTGAGCGTGCTCGCTTGTACGTATCGCACGTCCATGTGTGAGCGTACAGTAGCTGTGAGTCACGCAGTGTGTGGGGGCTACGATGCATCTGTGCCCAGCACGACAAAATGTGTTTCGCTTGACTTTATTTCAAGTCTACAACCACATTCCATATGGTGTCGGCTTCGCACAGCAGGATATAGGGCTTCGTTTTGTTGTGCCGCAAGATGAATGAGATGCACAGGCTGTTCGCTGAATGAGCGCAGGCCATCCGTCTATTTCAGAGCATAAATGCAAATGTTTTCTGAACTCGCTCAAGTCATGTAAGGCAGGCAGGGTAAGGGTAGGTTGAGGGAAAGTTAGAACTTCCATCTGAGCCTATTATTATTGAGTGGTTGAGAATGATTATGAGGTTATTTTGTTATAGTCCTGTGCGATTCAGTGGCATACTTTATATTTTCCAACAGAATGAGTCTCTGTGTTATTAGCTATGCTCTACACAGCAAACACATAATTGCTTAATGTGGTTTTGAGTGTCTACACATGATGTTCTAAGTGGTAAACAGCTGCCACCAGCTGGGGAGGTTTAAAATTACACCCGTGTGCTTCAAAAGGCAGGGATACTTCTTTCATGTTCGTGGCAAAAGAAAACCTGAAGTTAATGATCCTGGACACTCGGCTTAAATGAGTTTTATTCCATTTAAAAAAATAAAAAATATATTGAGTGTTTTATTTTGATTTCATGAAAGACGGAATGAAAGGAGCACATAATATGTGAGAGGTAGCCACAGTGGTGCGGTTTTCCCACAAATAAAAAAAATCTGAAATGAGTTTATTTGGTCAAATGGGAACAAAATTGAAGTTGCCAATAGGAAAAAGTGAAACTAAGGCAGGTTACCATGGAAATATCATTCCCATTAAGAATCGTAGAATCAGCAGCATCATGCTGTGGAAATATAACCCCCCCCCCCTTTTGACTTTGACTTAATTAAATAATTGAAAATGTATCTTTGTTCTTCCATTTCCCAACTTTCCTGTTGGTCTATCGCAATAAATTCCAATAAAATGCACTGAAATTGGCTTGAAAACTTTCACAGGATGACATGTCTCCGCCATTTCTCAAGTTCCTGCAGGAAGAAGCACAGCTGTGCGTGAAAGGAACACATCAGGATATAAACAGTTTGGGTTTTTTCTCAACAGTTTTAGCTCAGTAGCCATTTTTCATGCCTATTCTGAAACCTAATCTCAAACACCCATCTAGAATCATCATCGTAATCATCCAATATATAAAAAAGACTGCCTCTGAATACTTCTCCATTTTATTGCCATAGAAAACTATTGTGCTGCCATGTTCCCTTCTCATTTGAATATGTCATTCAATAGAATAACAAACATTTAAAGGGCCGTTTGAGTCGCAACGATAATTTTATAGAGTCATTATTCAGTAATAAAGCATCACACTGTGAGCATCTACAGTCAGAGAATCAGACATCGGCTTGTCTCGTTACAGACTTATGTGCAGATATACACCCGTAAAACCATTTTTCATTGAGATAGCAGTTACTTTGAGTAAAGCAAAAGCTGTCAGCATGGTGAACACATCTAGACAGCCAACAGAAACCCGTACACCACTTGTCTCTGGGGTTATCGTGTTCCTGCTGCTGCACTGATTCTCATCAAAGTATCTCCGCTGCCTCTGCAGCCGTCTAATTATGCCACAGCTGATCTGATGTATAGGACTTCCCCCCCTCTTCCTCTAGAGACCAAACGGAAGAACAACAAAGCACCCCATTTTTGGGGTGTTTTTCTTCCTTCAACACTTAAGTCATCTCCTTTGCTTCCGCTATCTAAAGCCAGTGCACAGAGCATGTTGAGGAATCTCGAGCCTGGCTGCTGCAGTCGCTGTGTGGCTCTAACGGAAAGTGACAGAGAGCGGGACGGATAATCTTCTTGATGTGCTGCATTTTTATGCAGCCTCTGGAGGCAGCAGCCATTTTTATCAGTCACTACAACAAGCCCTTTGGCATCTTGGGGATGGAGAGAACACACGGCATCCATTCAGTGACAAAGTACTGACTATCTCTCAGTCCATTTATTTTTTTTTTCTTGTGATGGCACATCCGAGTTCAAAATTTCTGAGGAGTGCAAGTATGAGGAGCACTGCTGTCAATGTCAGGCTTGAGCAAAGAAAGATGGGGGATCATGCTAGATGACAGGAAATGGAGATCTTACAGAAGCGCACAAGTGGAATAAATGCCTTTATTCAAAAGCATCCATCAGGAGGGGCTGTGCATGCAAACGGACTCTTCTCGCTGACAGTGACTGGGAACATGGGATTGCCTAACTAGCCATAGCAAAGACCGGGTCGCAGTTGATCAGGCACGCTGCCACATTAGATCGCATTTACTCATGTGATTATGATATTAAAACAGACTTTGGAATTAAATCAGCTCCCTGAAAGGCCAATTAGCTGAAACACAATTAACATTTCCATAACAATCACATCTAATACTCATCAGCAGCCATCAGCTGGGTCATGCAAAAGACAATAGCGATAACGGGTGCCTTTTTTTTTTTTTAATCTTCTTTTTTTTCTGCTGAAATGCTTCCACTAAATTAATGTTCTTGTTGCATTTTGGGGGCGGGGACTCGCTGTGATTTTTGTTGCTCTCTGTATCAGTAAGGTCATATTTCAGAGATCTGAATTTAATGGAGATTTCCCACTTAGAAGATTAGTGATTGTTTTTTGTAAACTAATGCTTGCAAAAAAGCTAATGCTTTTTTGTAAGCATTAGCTTTTTGAAGCAATTAGGTACTTAATAGCTTCAGTACCTAGAAGGTACTGAAGCTATTAAAACCATTAAAGCTATCAGTGCTTTAATGGTTTTAATAGCTTCAGTACCTTTTAGTAAAATCTGACTAATTCTCCACATTTTAAGCATTTAAACACTCTAGTGACACATTTGCAAACAATGTGTTTGCCGGCCACTAGACCATTGAGCTCTGAAGCTGTAATGTTTTTCACTAGAAGGAGCCATTTTAGATTTGAGGTCAGCTTCTCAATAAACCCAGCTTCAAATCCAATATGGCTCACAGTCGCATAAATGATAGCTGTGCTCATTTTACTGTCACACCCCCAATGTCTCGATAAATCAGTTGTGCAGACTCTGCAGCCAAGGTTAGGAAAAGTGTAGCTAACACTAGTTAGCCTGCTTACCAATCTTTGTTGGTGAGGCTATGTTGCGTGTCCTCGTTTTGATGATCTGTTGTCAGAACTGTCTAAACAATTTATAGATTTTTCTATTTGTTTTAAGCTCGCTACGGCCATTTTGGATTTGGGGTTGGACATCTTAACTACGACTCTATGGGTTGTTTCCAATGATTTTTCTCACTTAAAACAGATAAAAGGGACTTTTTTTTTCTTTTTGGAGTATGTGCCACTATCACTTTCATGGTTTTTCTTTGTGTGCCAGCAGCAACACATTTCAGACAGATAAAGTTCTTCTAAATTCAGGTGAGTGAATAATGGAAATGAGGCTAATCATCAATTAACTGCAGGAATCTTATCAGCTCTCTTCTCATTTGATCCTCATTTATCACTTGTGATTGAACATTATTTTCCACCTGTTCGCAATGGGACTCTGACGAACTCGGAATAACAACAATGGTCCATTAAGATTTATCACGTCTTCTCCATCTGCCTGGATGTTGGAGAGGGACGATCTAATCAAATGATAATGTTTATCTACTGAGGCCGTACAAAGTGGGGAGGATTTGTATTAAATCAAGGTCCTAACTAATATAGTCCTGTCAGTAAGTGGTAAACGTATATTAATCAAATTTAAGGCTAATATGGTAAACTTTTATAATGTCAAGAGAGTGATCAGAAAGTCATACAAATTATTTTTTTTTTCCAGTGTCAAACCACCTTTTAATGTTTTCTCATATTGTTGAAATAAAAGTCTATACCATATACTATATACCATGTCTTTAGTAATTACTCCTTTTTAAATGAAACCTTTTAACTTGGTATTATGAATTATTTTGAAAATTCAATGTAAAAAAAAAAAAAATCAGAAGTGTCTTTTTTTACCTTTAAAGTTTAAATATGAGTGAATTAATGTACAAAACTGACCTGTGTGTACACAGTGGTCATACGCAACATGTCCAAGAGGATTAGATTAGATTTTTTTTTCACAACAGAACACCAGGAATAACAAAAACACTTTCATTTTTTTTTTGTTTATTTCATTACCCTTTAATATATAACCACTACCAAAGACACTATTCACGTAACATAAATAATGGCAACTTATTTAGCGGAGTAATATAAATTCAGGGTTTAGGTCTGTACTTTAATGTAGATACCAATTTTACAGTACAAGACTAAAGTTAAATTGTCCATAAGTTACCAAAAATATTCTGGAAAAGAAGAAATGAATACACAGCAAAAAGACAAAAAACACTCAACTGTACACCACCAGCCTGTTCAAAATCCAATTTTAAATATTAAATATCCTCGACTGTCTAGTTAATGACAAGATGTCTTACTGATAAATTAAAACATGTCAGCTAGCAGAAAACACTAAATGGAGGGAATTTGATGCAAATTTCAGAACGGACGGTCACTAAAGAACACAGTATTTTTTTTTAGAATTCCTCCTAAAAGTGGCTTAAAAGAGTAAACAAATTCAACAAATAGTGAAAACGACAAAAATCTTAAAATTCTCCCACATCCACCCTCTTGTCTCTGAACTTGCTTCTGGCCTTGGTCCGAGCCTTGAAGGCAGCAGAGTTGTGGAGATGCTGAAACGGAAACCTTTGGAATTAGTCTTGGTTGAATTTTATAGACAAGCCAGACCTCGTGTTGTTGCGTTTACCCTTTCGAAGCGAGAGATTTTCATGGCCTTCATTGTGGCTGAATCGACCAAAATGGGCGGCCCCAGTTCAAACACGTCCCGGATGAACTCATTGCCCTGGAGGAATGGATGCATTTACATTACAACTGAAAGTTTCAATATAATTTACATGTCAAGTGTGACATGTAGAAACGCATTTCACTGCAATTCTTTTGAGTTGTGGTGCATCTCTCCAGTTTTGGTTGAATTATTAGGAGCAAGGTTCTGCTGAAAGATGAACTTCTGCCTTTAGTTTTAAGTTTTGAAACCTTAAATAAGTTTCCTTTAGCTCAATGTGCCATCTTTATTCATTTTCACCATTCTCTTTATCATGATGCTGCCATGAGTATTTTCCCTCTAAGCCAGAAAGTTTAATTTTAACCTCATCTAACAAAAACTCTCGAAGGCAATTTGGTGTCCTGGACTTTTGTGGGAAGCAGTGTAAGGGGGCAACAATATTTAAAATGATACAAATGGATTCTTTTGAATACACAAAGAATTGAATACCTGAAGGTGGTAGTTCATCCCAGATCCCACAAACTCTCTGAAAGCATCATAGGTCCTCTTTCTGACCCAGCTGTCGATGGTCATGCGCTCTGTTCCGAAGCGAATCGTCTCCGATTGGAAGTCCCCCTCCTGGAAATGAATTCAAATATTTCAGCCACACATGCCAACCTGACATCCTTTTGAGTGTTGATGAATCTTTCTTCACACTCACCTCAACAGCTTTTAGTACGTCCCTGAACACAGACCTCTGCTTCCTCTTGTCGGTCTTGGCTCGGTGCTTGTTGCAGTCGGTAGCTAAAGCGTTCAGCTTATTGCACAGTTCCTCCCACTCGTCAAACTCAAATTCCTGCATATTTAATAAAAAATAAAAAGAAAGTACTTGAGAAATCAGAAACTCAAACTTTTTAGTGTCCAAAACATGGTGGTGGAAAACAAACCCAGATGTGAACTTACAGAATCGATGTCTCTGGCTAGCTCGAAGAGCAAAGCGATCGTCTCCCCAGCAGCGATCCTCATGTTGACGTCGTCGCTCTCCAGCAGCCGTTGCAGCCTGGGCAGGTGTCTGCGCAACAAACCAGCAAACATTTCAGCACCGGAACAGCCGACGTTAACACCACCGGTCAGATTCTCACGTTTTCAGGACGCCTTTGAGCTGACTGGCCAAGCAGATGGTGAGCAGCAGGGCCCAGGACAGCAGGGCGTTGACGTGCAGCTGGCTCATCTGCGGACTGATGGAAGGACAGGTTCCATCCGCCCGGGCGTAGGACCGGGTGAACAGGCTCTCGAAGCACTCCATGGTCGCCTGCACGTCCTAAAGCAGAGGAGGGGGCAAAAATTATTTAGAACTTGCGAGTGCATTTTACTTTGAAAATAAAATCACGAGTGATTGGGCTGCTCACCAAGATGTCATCCTCTGCAACAAGCGTACAGAGCCCCAAACTTGTCGCCACCTGTTGAGAAAGACATGCCGATTTTAGTTGAATTTCTGAGATTTCAGATCTTTAGACGGGAAGGAAGATGCACTTACAGCTTGTCTCGCTTGGATGTTAGCTGACCCATCTGCCAGGATGTTTTTGAAGATGGGCTTTAGAGTCTTGAACACCTCCTCGCTCTCGATTCCCGATCCCAACTGAATACACAGCAAGCACGCTAAAGACGCCGCCGCCCTCTGCTCCTCGCCTTTACCTGGCAACAGGAAGAGAAGCCGTCAACTTCCTGTGCATCTGCTTGATAACAAAGAGACTCTGATGTAGAAACGAGGCCGATACCTTTCTTGAGGCAACGCTCAATGCTGTCTGTGATGGTCATCCTTCGCTCCGAGATGAACTCGTACAGGATCCGAGTGGCCATTGCCGTCTTGAGACCGTCCAGAGCCCCTTGTCTCGTCTTGGCACTAAACGAGAGGAATGTAGATAAAGAAAAAAAGATATGATCCAACAATCATAGGTAATCGTTTAATAAAATAAAACTGGTCCAGAGTGTTTTGTAGTCCATAAAGGATTCCTGGATCACCTGTTCTCACTCAAATGTACAAAAAATATATATGTATATATTTTTTTTTTTAAAAGTAGGACTTTAACCTCTTATCCACAGTGCTGTCTATAAACCCCTTCAGCTTATACTGGAAATCCTCCTGGGCGGTGTCCTCACTTGCCTCTCCACCTAAAAATAGCAAAACAAATAGTAACATTATTCATAGCTAACATTTAGAAGCTTCCGCGCTTATTGGCACCTTTGAAAGGACGCATGCCATCCCTCAAAATAAAGAGCGTGATCTCATAATTACAATTTTTCAGAAACCCAAGCTATAATTTGGAAGCTCATTTTGCTTTAAATGGTAATCCACAACGTGTGCTGTATCTCTGGAGCATAACAATGACGGCAGAGAGGGAATTTTCTGCTAGATGTTGTTCAAACTGGGAAAGATGAGAGAAAACGGCATTCCAGTAAAGCAGATGTGTTAAGATAGGAAATGGCTGCAAGAATTTAAATTGCTTTAGTTTATAATCAGACTGATAATTAAAAGGTTCAATGCACACACAGAGGGTGGAGATAAAGGGAGAAAAATACTCACAGGTAAAACCAAACAACAAGCGGAAAGTTACATTTTCAGGGTTTTATACACACCTTTATCAGGATTGCCAATCATTCTGAAGAACAGAGAGCTGTACACAGACGAGCCTACCTTCATCTGCCACACTTGTGACGTCACTTAAGCTGCTGCAATGACTGAGTGTCTCGATGGAGGCGTCCTCATCACTGAAAGGCTGCACAGCTCCATGCTGGCCCCCTGAAAACAAAACATTTATTTCAGTTTAGAAAAAAAAAAAAAAAAACCCGACAAGAGCTTTGTTCTCCCTTATGTAAGTCAGGCATCATGCAGATACTGCAGCAAACGCCACTGTTATCTAATCAGCTGTGTTCTTTGGACGGCTTATCCTGCAGGTGCCATGTAGGCAAAGGTAGTCGGGAGTGAACCGACTGCAGTTCACACAGCTGTGTGCCTATTGGAAAGACGCAGGTTGTCAAGACAGCTCAACAGACCACTGAACGTGAAGACCGAGCTCAAATATAAATAAATAAATAAAGTCTAACTGCAGCTGAGAAAAGAACCAAGCGTTCACATTTGACCAAATACGGAGACAACAGCTTGAAGTCATCTGGTACAGTTATTGGCACAAAGTGATCAACAGAAATACTTAGTCATACTATTTCTATGTACTTTAAATGTTGGTCTAAGCTCTAGATGTGTGGAGAACAGCATAGCAGAGCAGTGTCCAGGCGCGTTTCTGCACACGTCTAGTCAGCAGACTGGAACAATGCAACAAGCTTAGAAAAAGCCACATTTCTCTTTTTGAAAGTATTTCGGTTGCAGTAAACATGGAAGTGGAAAGCAAATTCACACCACCTGTGACTTTTCAGTTAAAGCTGCTTTAAAACTTACATTTGCAAAGTTGCAAGCAGATCACATTTTCAGTGCAAAGTGTGTAACATTATCTGAAATAAGAACACTTCGAAATGCCTGAATTTAGCAACATTTTATTACATATTTTTGAACAAAAATAACCAACATTACTACATGTTTGTCAATGTCATAATGCTACAATAAAAAACTTTTTTTTCCCTCAATTCTAACATCCATTAAACAGAGCATGTGCTGTTGAGATTTTAGCTTTTGACGTGTCCAAGCTATTTGTGCTTTCCAGTTAAAAATAAAGATACCATTTAAAAAGTAATTGAATCATGCAATAGATTGTCTTTTCCCACTGTACTCTTTTGTAAATACCTCAGAACTGTTGTGTGTATGAGCCAGACAAGGTGTGTGTATTGCAAGGCTATCTAGGGAAAAGTGCATGACAACGTGCAGGCAGCTCCTGCACAACAAGCTGTTTAACTTTTTAACATTTATATTTAATATAAATCCAAAAATAAGAATAGAATGTCATTACATAGCCAAAACGATACATTAAATATATACTTTAATAAACCAAGGAGTGAAATTGTCTATACTTTGAAGTAGGGTAGGGTTATGCTTTAAACCTTAAGAATCTTTTATCCTTTAGAGAAGGGCTCTCATTTGGACAGGTGAGGAATTTAGGGAAGCATAATGACAGCAAGTAGGAGCCAAAATGAAATCCGACCAGACCAGACTCAACAGGCTCCTCTGTGACCCGAAATCACCTCAGGAGGACATGTTTGTTTGGCTTTACTAATGCAAGCTTCTCGGATGTACCAGGGAAACGTTCAAAGCCGAGACAATGCACTTTAGCTGATAATTTTTCAAAGAAATTATCAGCTTAATCACGTCACACGTTAATATGTGTTTACAGTGTGTTGACGTGGGCTTTTCCCACACCACAGCTGATTTCTGGGAACCGGGCGGCGCCTCTTCGCTGGCCCGCTATACGGAGGACAAAATGTCCTCCTCCAGCTGCTACGCCACCAGAACCGATAACATTGGAAAAAATACAGACAGTATTTAATAAAAAACGTGTGTAACGTCAGTAAGTATTTATGAAGAACCGGTAAAAACAAATCTGGCTAACAATCTAATAAGATAGAAATGACAAGCTTTTAGCTCACAGAGCTGGACTTCTCTTGTTTTTGTTTACACTAAACGCCATATACGCAACTGATAAAACCGTAAAAATAATTTACCGGTTTTAAAAAGTGCTAATCGCTTTTAATTAAATCTTATTGACGGCAGCAACGTGTTTGGGTCAGGGAGTTGTTGATGCTAGCTTGTTAAGCACGGTGTAAACAGAGGTTTTGCCTAACATAATAATGTAAACATTATAACTAAGATTAGCAAAAAGTCATATACTTTAAAAGTTTTTAGAAGAAAGCAAAGCTTTGTGTCGAAAATTTTAGCTAGCTTTTGTTTGCACCTAGGCCCGGGCTCCAACGTTTGTAGTTCCAATTGTTAACACGTACAATTCCACGCAATACGTAAGGAAGACTAAAAGAACTACAATTCCCATCATACAAACTGCTCACAGACGCAAGGCCACAGCCTAGCTGCCGCTCTGCTACTCACCTTTGCCGTTCTTCTTCTTGTTCCTTGGCATTTTCGTGCAATTTAATATAAAAGATTTGATCAAAAATCAGCCAATACACGACCAGCTTTTATTGTACTGTCTAGCAAAGTGAAAACGTTCCCGTGGCACAGTGGATAAAAAGAAATCGAAGGCGATCTTGGAGATAGACTGTTGGCCGAGACGATACATTTTCCTCTAATACACCAGTGCTTCTCGACCGAAGGGCCGCTCTGTGGTTTTATACCGGCAGACATGTCACGAGGAGCTTTCCCGGCATCACTGACCAATAGGAGAACGGCCGGGAAGTATCGCTTGTGCTTGCGCGTGACGCAGTGCCGTTTATTGTTTTGGTGGAGACAGGAGGGAGATAAAGCTATAAAGGGTTATCAAAAAAAAAAAAAAAAAAAAACATTTCTGATTTAGCGCAATATTTATTCCCCTTAGAGTTTCTATTGGCACTTAACTGTTAACAGACGTACATGGACACACACTTAACCGTTTAAAAAAGACATTTTAATGAGATGCAACTTTGACAATTACCATTGGTGGCTACTTAGTAGCATCATGTAATAAGCAATACATGGCACTGCAATGTGTGTGTGTGTGTGTGTTTCTTTCACTGGCTTTTAACTCAAATTGAAGTATTGTTTTTTACATTTATTGTATTTATATTCTTTGTTTTTATTTCTGGTTGTGGTGAACAGCACTTTGGTCAACTGTGTTGTTTTTAAAGTACTTTATAAATGAGGCTGGAATGGAGTGGAGTATTTGGCATTTTACAGGTAAATTGAAGTGAGTAGAAAATCAGAGGTTATTTGTAGATAAGCCAAAGTTAAAGGGTTCGTTCACGCAACACCTTTATCATTTATTTGACTTTGTGTTTGGGGTTCAGGGAGGTTCTAGGACAGGACAAAAATAGCTTGCCAGTTGACGGGTGGAAAACCTCACTGGAGATGCAGCCTCCTTGCTGCTGTTCCCATGGCTGGACTGTCAGCAGCGTTCTTCCCAGCTCCGAGGAAAAAGCCATAAAGTGCTGTAGCTTGCAGAATCCAAATCTGACTGTTTTATTCATGCACCTTGCATTAGATTCAAGAACGGTTTCCAGAAGTGCACAACAGAGTCACCATTTCTTCAGCAGTTAGTCACTTTTTTTTTTTTTTTTGTTCAGTGTGCATCGCTGAATTACCACACTCATCGGCAGCAGCGGCTACTCTAACGCCCTTGAGCCACACCGTGTAGGGACAGAAGCGCTGTTCTGGTTGCAGCATCAAGCTTGAATAATTTATTAGCCAATGTGTGAAGCTGGGGTGTGTTGAGTGGGTGCAGTGATGGTGTGCGGAGAGTGTGATGTCGAATGGGAAACACACTCGCCAATACCTGCAAATCCCAGATTTTATGCATGGTTTAGAATAAATTATACAACACTGGGTGGGCTCTGTGAAATACTCTTGCTTAAATGCAAAAAAAAAAAAAAAAAAAAAGCTGCTTAGTGTCATACTGATTAAAATCATCCAGCGTTGCTTAAAAATATTGAAGTTCTCTGGGACTCCCACACTTGAACCTTAACCCACTTTGACACTAGGGGGTGCCATCCTGTTTGAAATTCAAAGAGCCATCGTCTCTGCTATCACTGCAGTGAAGCGAGTGGGATTCTCTGAGATGTTTTTATGATGCATAATTTATGAAGTGAGTGAACGATGCTCACTGCCGCTCGGTCTGTGTCTGGCTTTAAACGTTTAATGGGATGGAGCGTGCGATGCAAATATGAAATGACACAGGAGGGAGGAGAGGAGGAAAAAAAGAAGAAAAAAAGTGGAATCAAACATAGTCTGGTGCTGAGGAATAAACGAGCAGATGTTGTATTTAAAGGCACGTTTATGCGGTTCTGGCGAGGCGAAGGAAGGGGTTGTCGGAGGGGAAAAGAGGGAGAAATCACCAAAGTAGGAGCAATGGGGAAAACGGAGCGGCTCGGTTCGGGCCTTGTTCAGCATGCCCTGCGTGTTGCATCTGTGGGCACAAGCTCTGGCCAACCTGATGCCACAGGAATACAAATCACTCCCTGCAGAGAGCGGCTATTGAGACACGGAGCTGACGGGCGATGATAGAAAATGTCTGAATATTAATTTCATTTGCGATGCTTCTCTATTAAATAATTCATAAATGACATAGCCTGGAGCTATGTGTGCTGAAACCGGCTGGGTTAAGCCTGTTGCAGCAAGAGGGGAGCTAAAAAAAATAAAATAAAGAATGATTATGGTGTCTGCAAGTTGATGAGAACACAACATTAAACAAAGATGAGCAGAGGTGATCTTTTCGAGACTGCAAGCAGTTTCCTTTGAAATGTCAAAGTGTGCCCTCTCCCTGTAATCTACTTCAAACATCGCAAAGGACCTGAAGGAAAGTGATATCAAAGTCCCTCATTTGGTTACTTTAGTTCATCTTTTACGATTAGCAGCATTTGCAGTACTGATGAGCAGTGTTTGTTTTGCAGTACCCTACGAAGGAACCATATGTAGTTTCTAAAATTATGCATCCGTCAAGTGGAGTGTTGTTTCAAGTAGCCAATTTACACCAAAGCCCACATGTTTGTGGGCCTAAGGACGAACGATGGCGAACTGAAAATCCGTATGAAAGTAAAAATCTGTCTGTGGAAGTGGGCATTTTTAGCGATATCTGCATTATGTTTATAGAGGTTTTCAAAGACGAACTGTTTAACAAGGTAAAAGTGGGCAAACAAAAAGTAAGTTGCGCATTTTTGACTTTTTCAAAATGCGTAGATCGTCAAAAGAGTGACGCAACTAGCACAGGCTATATAATAAAGGTTTTTAGCTAGTATTAAAAATGCTTGGATGGATGACTCCTCTTTCTAAAAAAAATAATTTGGTGGCATGAGAAAGAAACATCAAAATAAAGACTTCAGAGACGGTCTTTTGGACTGAATTCTATATATAATGCTTACAGGAAGGTTTGGCAAAAGCCAAAGCACAAAAAAAAAATCAGCACAAACTTCACAGACTGTCTCTTTAACCCTGATTGCAGGGGCTCATAGAACCTGAGTACCCTGCAGTCACTGAGTTGATCAAAGTATTCTGATAGCTGAAGGTTGCTTGACCTCACCTCATCAGCAGGGCAATGGTACAAAAAAAAAAAAAAAAAAGACAGCGGATCTACAATGAAATGGCACAAAAAGAAAGAAATGGAGGTACAGAACTAACCCAAAAATACAGACCCCAACAGATGAAAACGCTCTGGGATATTACAAGAATTTGCAAACCTTGATCAACTAAACTTTAAGCGGCTCTCAAAGCCACTATCGTAGCAACAACCCTCTTTGCCACGGCGGTGTTTATCCACAACCAATGTTACAGGCACCCATGTGTTTTTTTTTGTGAGGATGATTTTCCCAATAAAATTAGTTTCAGAAATCTCTTCATATAATTTCACATTTATATTTGCGTTTATCAAACGCCCACCCCAACGCTATAACAATAACAGCAAAGTGCTGGTTAATAAAGATCTAATTTGCCCATCCCGCTCCTAAATAGAGACTGCTAGTCACTGAAGCTCTTATTATTTCCCCTCATTTCACTTTTTGTTTTGACAGGATTTAGCACTTCATCAGACAGCGAGGCTACGCTCCCGTCACTGTAATTACCTTCTCATCTTAGCTCGTTTTGTGTGTGTGTGTGTGTGTGTGTGTGTGTGTTTTCTTTCTCGCTGCCTCGTGTTTTGCATCTTCAATCTCAATCCATTAACCTTTTAACAGGACTCCAGAGGGATGGAGGGGTAAAAGGGCCTTTGTTCTGGGCTTCACCGAGGTGCGCGCCGCACCCTCAGAGCAATCGATAGGATGGATTTTGCTTGATCAAAGACAGTAAAACAGAATAGAAAATTAACTTGACTCCATGTTCAGGACAAGAAAGTAAGAAAAACAGAGAAATACCTGCAGTAGCACTTTATCACAAGTTTAAACCTCAACTGAGACGCCGTCTGCTTCGGACCAACGGTTTGCAGATTTGCTTACAAGCCATACATCTAATGACGAGTTGAATCACTTGTTAAACCTGGCCATAGTTGAGTGGACGCTTTGCTGTTAGCCCTCTGTTATTGTTTTGGAGAGAGACTCTTTCATGGACAAAACAAATCCATACTCTAAATTTGCTGAAGGATCCAGGACAGTAATTTGCGTGAAAGAATTTTGCACCCCCAGATAAGACTTATCAGATTATTTAGAGAGAGGGAAAAAAAAAATCCATTTAGGCCCAAAAGCTTTCTCTCTCTCTTTATCTCTCCCTCTCTCAAACACACACAAATGCAAAAACAGGGTAATGGCATTATCACCTAGGCATCTGATTAAGCAGATTAAAAACACTAAGTGTCTGGCTGGTAATGGCTCTTTGGCTATCCTAACAAACTTGGATATCCCTCTTAAAGTGTTGGAGCCACTTTTCTACGTGTAATTGTTTGCACTATTATTAAGCCTTTAAGAACCATCTTAATGTAATTCATGTTTTATGCTAAAAACTCAAACTGTCCATTTACAGGGAGTGCACAGAAATGCACACCACCCTAATCTTTTTACATTTTGCTACATTACAGACAAACTTTGTTGCACTGGGGAAGACATTGTGAAATTAACAATGTTGCGGGGAATTCTAAAACTACAAAACAAGAAAGTTAATACTTAGAACCAACTTTTACTTCCAGTAGCGCTGTGATTTGCAGATGTAGAGACTGAGTCCTTTTTACCCTTTTTATTTATTTATTTGTAAAATAGCACAAGCTCAAACAAATCTGAAGTCAAACCAGCTGTGAACATAAGTTTTCAAGACTTTGGAGTCTCAAATGTATTTAGGTCTAGGTTTTGACTAGGCCATTTTAACTTATGTACGTGTTAGGTAAGTGGTTTTTTTTCCCCCTGTCTTTCCTAGTGTTTCTCAGGACTCAGGACTAAAGTTTTCCAAAAAAAAAGAAAAAGAGGAAAATCAGAAAGAATTGCCACTTTAATATCCCATGTTGCAGATTTCCGCAAACAGATATTCAAAAAGCTCCAGGCGTGAAATGCGTTCAATTTGTCGACAGCATTTTTTCTAATTCCGTCTCTTATAAAAGCCCTTCTTCCATTATGGAGATTTGTCTCTTTGTTCCACTCTTCCCTTCTGCTTCCAGTATGCAAACCAGCACAGAAAAGGGTTGGCTAGCTGTAACTTGGAAGCGAGTTCTGGTAGCCAGCTTTGAAGATTTCTGGAAACCACTC